ATTACATCAAAAGATCACAATTGTTGGACAGGAGTCTAGCCTCTAGGGGACTTAGCTTGCAGAGAGGGGAGGAATCAAGAAAATTTGGTTAAGAGCATGCTTGGAATTTGTAATATTTCAGGAGACTAAGTCAGACAGTAGAAATTTCATTGTGAATTGGGGACTAAGTTGGAAATTTTGGTTAAGAGCATGCTTGGAATTTGTAATATTTCAGGAAACTAAGTCAGACAGTAGAAATTTCATTGTGAATTGGGGAAGTTAGAAATATGGAATGGGTTGTTTTACCATGTTGGGAGAGGTCTAGGATTGTTTTAACTTTTACGTTTTAACTATTTGGGATCAAAGAGAGGTGAGAGGTTTGGAGGTGGTAGTGGGAAATTTTTCAGTTTTGGCTAGATTTAACACATTGAATACGAGTGAGTGGTAGCATAAAGGGGTCCTATGGACCAAGTAGGCCGACATAATAAAGTTATTGTGAGAGAAATCATTTGGTTTATCTGAAGTATGTTACCCTAATTTGTATTGGAGGCCATTTTAATGGTGTTAGAGTGGTATTAGTTACTACCATTGTGAAATGTTGGATTCATGTGGTCTAGTTAGCAAGAGAATTCCGAGTGTAATTGATTGGATATGTTATGTTTTTATTCTCTGATGGTTTGGAGGAGTTGTTTTTGAGTTTGAGGCAAGAGGGCCCTTTAAAGCAGTGTTTAATCATTGTCAAATTGTCTTGGCTTTAAATGGGAACTTTTCAGTTTGAAAATATGTTTTTCAACATCATGCTTTTAGGAAATGTTCTAAATAATGGGGGATAATAGTGTTTAAGGCGGCAAAGTATTTACAATCATCAAAATGCTCGAGATGATTATAGAACAAATGCAATTATTGAACAAGGAGTTGATTTGGGACACTAAAGACATAAAGAATCTTTTTTAGAGAAGAATTGATGAATATGATGGGTTAGAGATGGAGTGAGTCCTGAGTGATTTGCTTAGACCAGAGAAGTTTGATTTTAAGAATAAATTTGAGTAGATGGTGCTTAGAGATGAGATCTCGTGAAAATAGAAGGTGATAGTTAAAAAGTCTTAAAGAAGAGGACAATACTTCTAATTGAAAATTTGAGAAATGCCTTTAGTTTTAAGTGTTGAATTAGGTAATCAAACACGACCTTAGTTGCTTTGCTATTTTTGGTTGTGGTTCGCTTTCTACCTCATTCTGATCACTTTCACTATTATATGAAATTACATATGTGGTTAATTAATATTTATTCTATATTTAGATAAGAGTTTAAAGTGAATTATAATCCAAGACAACGTATCAACTAATGGTTGTAAATAACGAAAGTTAGGGGTTGCACACATTTGTATTATGAAAAAAGTTAAATCATAACTAGCAAAATATGAATTTAAAAATCACCAAAATAAAGAAATAACTATTTAGAGTTGCAATTTGGGGTTAGAGTTTTAATTTGGGGTTACTTGGATCATAGGTTTGTGAAGGATTTGAGTTACAATTTGGGGTCAAAAAAATTTGGCAATCTAGATGGATGAGAGACCTTGTAAAGTGGTGGTTTTTGTATTTAACGGGATGTGATTGCTTTTCTATAGTTGCATTCTAGGATTGGTGGGAGGTAAAAAGACTTGATTTGATTAGTTTGCAGAATATTTCCCAAATGGAATTGTACATTCAATGACAAATGCCACTTTTGCATGTCTCATTCCTAAAAAAGAGAATTATTTGAAAATAAATGATGTTAGGTTGATTTGTTTGATTACTTTATTTCATACAAGGTTTTGGTGAGTTGTTTTCTAGAGGTCGAGAGAGGTTTTGTGCCTCAAACTTCTTTTGAGAAGTGGCATCAAATCTTTGATTTTGTTTTAGTGGCCAATGAGGTGGTGAAAAATATAGATGACGTAGTAAGGGGATAAGGAATCACTGTCAGGGTTGATTTTGAGAAAGTCTATGATCATGTTAAATGGGTTTTTTTGGATTTAGTTTTTGTAAAACTTTTTTTGTTTTCTGTAATTGTTAATGGAATAGGGAAAGGGTTTTGATGCTTTGTTGTTTATGTAAGTGGTCAATGTGGAACAAGTTGTTGTAGAAAGCTAAGGAGATGGATCTATTTGAAGTTTTTGTGGTTGGAAGGGACAAAGTTGTGGCATCACATTTTGAAGTTGTCAATGTCATTATTCTGAAATGAGCAGAAAGTTTGCAATTTTGAAATCTAGTATACATTATTTTGAATTGATTCCAACATGTTAGTCCAATATGAGTAAAAGTTCCCTTATTTGCGTTATTTATGCTGGATAAACTACATAGGTTTGTGGGTATTTTGGGTTCTTTTCTGAAAGAATGACCAATGAAATATCTAGCTCTTCCTTCAAGGGGAACCCTAGTTCTCAGAATTTTCAAGATATGGTGATCTGAAAAATCAGAAAGAGATTGGATGAATGAATAAAGCGCTACTATATGAAAAAGGAAAAGGTTGGCTTTAGTGCAAACGGTTTTATCAAGTAAACAAATATACATGTCACTTCTTCAAATTCCATCGAATGTGGTAAGTTGAATTGAAAGATTGATGGGAGCCTTTTGTGGGAAAGGAATGGAGGAGAGAAAAAGGATCATTTGGTAAACTGGCAAATTGTTTCTTCAGATAGGGAATAAAAGGGTCTTGCTTGAGGTAATATTATTACTAGGAACATGGTCTTGATTGTTGAAAAGGTTGTGGAGATTTCCTATGAAATGCAACTCCTTGTGGTATACTATTATCGCAAGTTTGAGATCTAGGATAATGGAAGGGATCCTCGTGTGGTTGATTAGGGGACTGGTTAGAACTCATGGAAATATAATTCTCGAGGACTACTTTGTTTTCTCAACTTACAACAATTCTTGTTACGAATGGGGAAGAATTTGGATTATGTGAAAGGATGTGAAGCAACAATCCTTTTTCTATTTCTCCTCCTCGATTATATCCTTTGTCCCGTTCTCTTAATATTACGATTGTTTTGATGGTGTCTCCCTTCTCTCATCTATCTATTGGAGTCTATTTTGTTTAGAAATCTTAATGATAAGCAGGTTAATAAATGTCATCTCTTTTATCTTTGTTGAAAGGGGGGCCAACCTAAGACAGTCAATTCCTGGTAAGAGTGTATGGTCCGCTCTTTCATATATCTTTAGTACTCCATTATTTACCCATCAAAGATGATTTAGATGAGATCTCATTATTTATGGTCGACACACTTATTTATTATGTGTAAGAGGAATGAGAAGACGTTGTTTGGTGGATCAATCTTTATAGAGAAGGTCAGTTTCTTTGATGGAATAGTTTTGAGTTTTACCATTCTCCTGTACACTTATGCTTGTCATTGAGTTTTGGGGTTTTGGGAAGAGTAAGAGAGGTTCTTCCCTTCAGAGATATGTGGTGTGAGAAATCTTTGGGCTTCTATGGTTGGAAAGGAATGGTAGAATTTCTAAAGACGTGATTGAAGATGAGGTTGATCTGTGGAAACGAATTCTCTTCATTGCCCTCTTTTGGGTTTCGATTTCTCCTGAATTTGCCTAAATCCCATTGTTTTACTTAGAGCAGACTGGAGATCTAAATGTCAGATGCAACCCGTATTTTGTTTAAAATTTTTCTGCCATTTAACTTTTATGGAGAATAGCTCATCCTTCATGTACTTACTTTTTAATTCTTTTTTGTGTTGCTTAAAAAAGATTTGTGATCGCGTATGCATGTGTGTCTGTGTGTTATTTTGTACAATCCTCTGGGCTGGCACCCTAGCCTGTGATGTTTTTATTGATCAATGGTTATAAAGCTTATATATGTGCCATCAAGTTTTTTATGATTTGGGATCTTTAGCTATTGTGGTTGCATGTGATTTTGTGATAGTTTGAAAGCTGAGAATCCTGTCCAATCGAGTGTTAACATTTAGGTGCTCTTCAATTGACAAATAGAATTTGGTGCTTTTTTTAAGTTGATGTCATGAGTTCCATTAGTTGGCAGATTTTCTTGGGAATTTCTAATGGGTACTGCACATTATAAGTAGATTCTTAGATGCTCTTACTATTTTTAGTTTAATCCTATTCATGGTGTCTAGTATGATAAACAACGGAAAGTGAAGGCATTAGTCCTTGTAGAAAGTTTGTGGTTGTTTGCTATCTTTTCATTTTCATGGCATTGGCATGACCTAATAGTCTAAAGACACTTACTTTTCAACTAAAGGCACTGCTCTTATTTCCAGCTATGCTATTGTCCATGCTTTTGTGTATAAAGTGAATTTGAGAAACCCTTATTCGGTTTATTTTTTTTTCTTCATATTTTCTATTTCTGTTTTCTTGGAAAAGGATTATAATTTGAAGTTGATCTGTTGATTTCCTTTTCTTATGCCTTTATTATGTGACAGCGAATTTGGGGGCGAAAAGAGAAAGTAAGGGATTTTGCCACAACCTTTCTCTTATGCAAGTTTGTTCAATTCCTTTTGGTGTTTCTACTTTTTTGTTTGTTTATGTGGATTGGCCACTGCAAACTGGAACCATGACATTACATATGACATGTTGAGTTAATGCTTGTCTGATTTTTATTGCTTGTACTGAATTACATTGTACAAATTTATAAGGATCAAAATTTGGATTTAAGAGTTTCAATTATAATAGGTATGATTGATTACATTGTGTGACCAAAATATTTGTTTTTGTATTTATCAATCATCAATATCTGCTTGAAGTCAACCTTCCTTATTCTAGGGAAACCACTCAATTGGGAAACTGCATCTTTAAGTGCTATAGAAACAAAATATAAAAGATTCCATTTCATTGGGAAGTCATGACGCCACGTGACTGTATCTTATTTTTCTGTTATCTCGTTCTTTTGAGCTTCTTTTTGAGTTGTGAGCTTAATCTTACAAACATTTTAAATGCAGGTATAAAATTGACATATTGTGTTATGTCGTAGAAAGATAACTGCTGAGTTCAATTCTAATAGAGGTTGAACAACCTTTGGGTAAATGATGGCACCCGATCCTAGACTTTCAAAGGCTGCCAAAGCGATGAAGGGCTTAGGCATTCCTTGGGAGAGTGTGAAACCAGTCCTCAAGCACCTTCTGAAACTGTATGACGGAAAATGGGAACTCATTGAGGAGGATAACTATCGTACTTTAGCTGACATTATTTTCGAGTGGGCAGATGATAAGGTTTACATATTACTATAATTTCTTTGGTTTCTATGTCTGTGTTGTGTAGCCACCTTTTTATGTCTTATTTTGTTTTCTTTTGCTTGTAGTTAGAATTTACTCATTGCATTACACAAGAGTGTCAACTGATATTAGTGACTTAACAAGCCGTTGATTGTATTAAAGTCCTGTTTCTTCCTATTATGATTTTCTTATAGATATCATTTCCTGAATTTTTCAAAATAGACAGAGGAAGATAAGAAGAAAGATGCTAGGATTGTTAACAGGTTGGAACCTCGATTAAAGAAACCAAACTTGGGGCAGCATGAAGTTCAGGTTTCATCTCCCACAGATGATGCAAATATAAATATAGTTCTAGAAGTGGGTGACATGCGACAACCATCTAGTGGATTGAAATCAGTGGAGTCATCTCCATTGTTTTCAAGAGATGGGAGAACTGAATCTACTCCTTGTTTGCTTCAAGCACCATTTAGGGACAAAGGGAAGGACCCCATTTCATCTCAGCTGACCCCAAAGGATAGAAAATCATCTTTTGAGAGAGCATCAGGTGCACTTTACTCTAATCAGGCAAGAGATGGGCCCGGCTTTGTTCATATGCAGAGAGGAAAGATGCCTGAAGATTATGAAGAAGTAGATTTGACCGAGTCAAAAACGGAGCAATCTGTTAATGGCTTTCCACATTTTGTTGCAGCTGCTTCAAAGGTCCATTCAGGTAGTTGGGTCTACAAATGAAATTGATCTGCTATAATAAACTGCTTGTGTGTGCGCTTGTGTTAGGCTGCTGGTGTGTTAGCATGCATTTTTCCTGGAAAGTTCCCATCAATTCATCATTATCTTCTTTATACAATCTACTTGATGCAGGATCTTATTTGTTTCTCCAGCGAAGTTGCAGCAAATGGAATCAATAGAAATCAATTGAATTTTTTCCTTAGTTTTATTTGTTTTTCAGATTAAAGCTGCGATGAATTAGAGGCCATGGTAGATATTGAGAGGCTTTTTGAGGAGGCCAGCCAGCATGTTGGGCTGGGCTACTTTTCAGCTTCCTTTCTCTGAGTGTTACCATGGCCCCATCTTCCTTTCTCTGACCGCTACCATGGCCAATTTGTCTTAGTCATGCCACAAGTGCTTGAGAAAGATGATGCTACCAGATTGACCATCACATTTTCTTAATAGGATTTTATGTTAAACTACTGTTGCATCACGTGCATTGCACACATAAGTTTATCTTTCAAAACACATAGAGGTAAATAAAATTAAATATCATCTCATCTCAAATATGTTAAGACTGATATTTCTATCATTCATTCTCTGTTATATAACTTTTACAAGTTTTAACCAGTCATAGGGAAAGAAAAAGGAAGATAACAAAGAAATGCTTCAATCTTTTTTTTTTTAATTTTTTGACCAAGATTGATATTTTATAGTGAAGCTTGAAAAATTAAATAAGTTCTTGAAATTCAAACTATTAAGATTCCTCTTTTAAATTATTGAAAGATATGAACATAAACTCTTATTATTCCACTCATATGAAACTCTTACTTTGATTACTAACTAGCTCAATTGGCTGAAATACAATACAATATCCTATTTTAAATATTGTAAATAACATTTAAAGTCTAAAAAATATCTAAATTTTACGAAAAAAATTATAACCCATTCCAATAAACTCTTTATGTAATTTGAAAGATTTATTGTGACTGGAGAATTTTGCAGCAGAACCTATTTATTTTAATCGTCAATAAATTATAGTTTTAGTTGGGCTAATCAATTTTCTATTCTTAAACAAAACAAATTGCTACATTATCCCTTCCTCATAAATTTATATCGCTAAGATATGAACCTAAGCTTTGAGCTTTGAATTTTCATAAGGGTTAATCTCATTTTGCACCCTGAAAGATTGTTCGAATCTCAATTTACACCCTCAAAGATCAAAAATCTTAATTTACACCCTCAAAGATAGATATTTTTATCAATGTGCACCCCCAAAGATCAAAAATCTCAATTTGCACCCTCAAAGATAGAAATTTATATCAATGTGTACCCCAAAGATAAAAAATCTCAATTTGCACCCTCAAAGATATAAATTTGTATCAATGTGCACCTAAAATTAAATTGATAAATTATACCTAAATCCCCTCATATTTGTCAGTTAATCATTTAGACCTCTTCACATTTAGAATATTACTCCTACATCTTATGACATTTGTGCACGTATAACACGTAACCCATTTTCATTGATATCTATTAATATAACCGTTAAAAAATATAATTTTATCCTAATAAAAAATTATAATTTCATATTACCCTTTATTTTATAGGTTCAATATACTATAAAGTTCAAAATCTAGTTTACCATTTGAATGTCTAATAAAATATAAATATTTATATAATATTTTTCATATTACCTTTTATATAAATATCTACATTTTATTAGACATTCAAATGGTAAGCTTGATTTTCAACTTTAGAGTATATCGAATCCACAAAATAAAAGGTAATATAAAATTATAATTTTATATTAGGATAAAATCATATTTTTTAACGATTATATTAATATATATCAACGAAAAGTGGTTATGTGTTACACATGCATAAACGTCATGAGATGTAAGAGGAATATTCTAAATTTGAAGGAGTTCAAATGATTAAGTGACAAACATGAGGGGATCAAGGTATAATTTATTAATTTAATTTTAGGTGCACATTGATACAAATTTCTATCTTTGAAGGTGCAAATTGAGATTTTTTATCTTTGGGGATGCACATTGATACAAATTTCTATCTTTGAGGGTGCAAATTGAGATTTTTGATCTTTGGAGGTGCACATTGATACAAATTTCTATCTTTGAGGGTGTAAATTGAGATTTTTGATCTTTGAGGGTGCAAATTGAGATTCGAACAATCTTTCGGGGTACAAAATGAGATTAACCCTTTTCATAAATTAAAGTGTTTGAATTCTATGTGATAAAATTATTTTATTCCTGTAAACTAACACAGTTAAGCAGAGCAACTTTATAGCACAGTTTTCGAAAGATAGAATTCATGGATGTGACTAATTTGAACTTGATGTACAATCTTTCTGTTGTGAGAACATAAAAGCATTTGTTATTAACAAGGACAAATGTGTAAGGGTGCTATGATCTAAGTGTACCCCTAGGCCCTTGTATGATTGGTACGTAGTGAGTACAACTATAGTTTAACAACTAAACTCTCAGCTTTCTTCTTAATTGTTTTAAGCTATTCAATTCACTCGGGGCAACCTTTAGTCAAATTCTATTTGTGCAGCAACATAATGTTCTTACTCAGGAAATTGAAATTTAGTTACTTAGTCACGATGGTAACAATATTTAAGAAAATTTACTAGAAATATAATCATCCCATACATCTCTCTCTCTCTCTCCATGGATTTTATAGAGGGATAGACGGAGTCCCAGTGAGAAAGGATTATCTCAGGATCATTGTATGTTTTCCCACATAACTATAAGCATTTGATGAACTCATTGCCTGTATTTGAACCATTTGAAGGGCTATAGTTTTTTCCTTTTTTGATGCCTTTTCTTTTAGTCTTATTTTGGTTTTGATGCCTTTTCTTTTTCTTTTTGTAAACAATGCTAGAATGTGGATATGTCATTGCTAGCATTTGCTCATTACACTACACGATGAAACTGACATTTTCTATTTCTTAATTTTTTGCAAACCCAAATAGAGAGTGAGAGTGTGAATATATGTAGGCACAGTATAGGAGAAAAACTTTTTTTTTAGCAGAAGAGACAAGTGTTTAGATATCTGAACAGATGAAAAATGATAGAAGGGGTTAAGAACACGTGTGGGCTAAGTAAATCAATGGACAGACTTTTACATGAAGAGGAAAAGATACTATGTAGGGATAATGTTGTACTAATGGAGTTGATGAAGGGTCCTTTGAATATTTTGCTGAAAAAGGATAATGTGGTCATTCGAAAGTTTCTATATTTTTTCTGTGGGTAATATGGTCATTCGAAAGTTTTTCAGAAAAATGGGTATTTGTATTTAGAAGAGGCGCAGAATATTGTCAAGGATTTAATTCCACCCTTTAGCCAAATGGAGGCAAGATGGAAAGGTGTTAAATTGTGCTTCATATAGTCAGATTGGAGGTATAGTAAGCTATGCCATTCGTAGCGAGAAGTGTGCACATATCTTTTTCGCTATTCTATTCCTTTGGCCTAGAACTTTTGAGGATAAAATTCTAAATATCCAAGTGGTTTCTCTATTGTGACCTTGCTTCATGGGTTCAAGTCATGGAGGCTTCCCATGTAGGTGTAGGTTGCGTAGACCTTCATCAAAACCATCAATGTTGGAAGCCTCGGTTTCTCTTTTTTAACAAATGAGTACCCTATTTCTTAACGTATCTCCTAATGAACACCCATGAGCAATGATGTGTTTATCAAAATTGAATTAACTCGTTTATGATTTGATAGCTTGGTTTCTTTCAGCTATTCCTCGTTCAGTGGAGGATCCTTTGACCCAAAACAGTTCTGCCAAATATTTTATTCCCGAATGTTCAAACAAGGACAACAAAGATAATGGTTTAGAATGCACTTATGGGACTAGCTGGGGAAATAGTTTTGATATAGCTTCAACAGCCTGTGGAAAAGTCAAAATTTTGTTCTACTGTGATCATGCCAATGGACAACCTGACTTCCATATTCCGAGTTTGGATGAAGTTCTGAAGTATGTGGAGAATAAATATCTTAGATCATATAGAATCATTGGGCCACAATTTTCGGGGATGGAGTTTTTGAAAGAATTGTGTGACAGATATTTGGAATTAAGTACTGAGACTACTGAGATACCTCTCACAATAAAATCCTCTGGTGCAAGCACTGGTAATTCAGAAAAGGATTTGGATAAAATGGTTCCAAGTTCTGGATCTTCAAGTTCACTTGATTTGGTGGTAGTTCATCAGCAACCTACAACTCATGTTAAAAATAGGCCCTTTCACAGAATCAATGACATAACAAAAGATACCGAGAAAGTGAGCATTTCATTGCTAGATGAAACTGGAAGTGAGCACCTGCCATATTTTGTTTATATACCACAAAATATAATTTACCAGAATGCATATGTACATGTCTCATTAGCTCGGATTGCAGACGAGGATTGCTGTTCCAGTTGTATAGGAAATTGTCTTTTGTCGTCAGTGCCTTGTGCGTGTGCTCGTGATACCGGGGGAGAATTTGCCTACACACCTCAAGGGCTGCTGAAAGAAGAATTTTTAAGAGCTTGTATATCTATGAATCAAGAACCACAAAATCACTACCATTTTTACTGCCAAGATTGCCCAATAGAAAGGGCTAAGAATAGATACAGGCCTGAAAAATGCAAGGGCCATTTAGTGAGGAAGTTTATCAAAGAGTGCTGGAGAAAATGTGGCTGCAACATGCAGTGTGGAAACCGGGTTGTACAGCGAGGCATTACCTGCAAATTACAGGTAAGATTGGTTAATCCCTTCTTTTCTGCAAGCATGCAGGAGAAGTTCGGAAAGAGTTTGATCCCTGATATGTTTCTGATCTTATGTATGGAACTCTTTCATTTCACTGTTTTTTTTTTTTTTGTCTTGTTTGGACAACTTCAATTTTTTTCTTTAAATATAGCATCTTATAGCTGTTTTGTTCTACTGTTTTTTTTAATGCTTGCTTTGACAACTTCAATTTTTTTTCCTTTTAATGAACCAACTTGTTATAGTTGGGCAGTGCCAGCTTCTTGGTAGTCACTGATCACGTTGACTACTTCTGAAAAATAAATTAGTAAATATATCATGCTACATTTCCAGCTTCATTTTTTGATTCTTTCCCTATTTATAAGAAGACATCTGGTGACACGATTTGTAGCATATATAATCACTATTTTCAGTGATTCAACATTTTCTTTTAGTTTTTTGTCTCAGTATTATTTGTATCCCCAGGTGTTCTTCACAAATGATGATAAAGGTTGGGGTCTACGTACACTGAAAGATTTGCCTAAAGGTGCTTTTGTGTGTGAATATGTTGGAGAAATTTTGACCAACATGGAATTATATGAAAGGAATAAGAGACGCCCTGACAATGACAGACATACATATCCAGTGCTACTTGATGCAGACTGGGGTTCAGAAGGAGTTCTGAAGGATGAAGATGCACTTTGTCTGGATGCAACAAATTATGGAAATGTTGCGAGGTTCATAAATCATAGGTGATTGTTCTCTTCATATATCTGTTTCCCTATGTACTTTATGTATAAAAGGATGTAGGCATATATGCTCATATATCATCCCTGTTATATTACAACAGCCCTTTTGTGTGCACAAGATGTAATACTAACATATCACTTACATAGAATCTTTTTGTTGAAGAAAAACATTGCTAATCTTTTCAGATAAATCTAACTTCCTCAGTTCAACCATTTCTTCCAACAAGTTACTCTGACTATTCTCCTGTAATCAAATTATTGAGAAGAAAATGTGGAGGAAGGTGCATGTACAAAGAGTTCTATGCATCCAATCATCCGACTGGAGGCACATATGTTGGACCAACTTGCATACAAATCCGATGGTTTGGAATTAATGTTAGTAGACTAATATATAAGTTATACAGCTTTGGATACTTTGATATACCTTTGAAAGATAAGAGAGGAAGAGTGAGAGAAAAACATTGCCTAATTAACTAATCTTCAGGTCCATGTTTCTTAAGAATGATGACATCTGGTATTATAATGATCCTAGACAAACACAAACACTTGTTTTGGCTCACTCCCCCTTCTGTTTGTTATAATTTATGGCAAACCGTTGTAAGAGAGCTCTATATTAGTTGGTTGGCTTCAATGTGATCTCCAAATTTACTATACTATTTGGCACATTTTTATATTTTTCTTCCCAGTCTAATCTAAACAATACATTCTCAGTTTTCCTTTTTCCTTTTTGCTATTTTCAATCCGGATTTTTGCTCAATGTAGGTGCTTTGATTCAAACTTGCTTGAGATTCCAGTTGAGGTGGAGACCCCCGATCACCACTATTATCATGTATGATTGACTTGCTCCTGCTCCTGCTGCATGTGTTTTTGTGGTTACAATGCTGCTATTAATATCCACGCTCTAGATAAGACATCTAAGAACTAGTCTGTGCTTCTTTTATGCAGCTTGCCTTTTTCACTAAAAGAAAAGTGGAAGCCATGGAAGAACTTACATGGGTAAGTTGACTTTATTTTTTCTTATTGGTATATCAACTATCAAGGTCCTTCATATGAAAACCTTTTTGAATTTACGCCGTCTGTGACAAAATAATGACAAGAGGTGGCCTTTGATTTGGACAAACCATTAATATTGTTTTTCATAGCCAAGTGCTGGTAAAACACATTTTCATAGCAGAATCAACCCTAGATTTGCAAAGCTTTAATCACCATATGATTGAAGACTAATTTGCGTAAGCATTGAACTTCATTTATGCATTTAATGATGTAGAGCCGAATTCACCATGTCTTTTTACTTTTATCTTAGTCCTCTCTAAACTAATCAAGTCTCTAAACTGGGCAAGTGGCCTCATTTACAAACACATGATGTATACATAGAGAGACAAAGACCTACAAGTACAAAACTATGAATTGAGTCGAACTTAGTATGTTGAGCCTCAGCTCGAGTTAACTATCATAGGGCTCGATTGCCAAGCATGGATTCATACTTAAGCTTTGCTTGGTTCAAAAGATTATATGCTCATGTTTCGCTTTGGTCGGCTCATTTTTTTACTACAAACTCAAAGTTGGGCTCAGGCTTGAGTTAATACAAAAACTCAGGCCTAATAAGACTCCAACCCACAATCTCTTGATAAGAAATGAAATGTCTTATCCATTGAGCTTGCTACTCTAAACAGATATTTTGTTATAAAAACGAATCTAGTTCGAGTCTAGTGAGTTAAGCAGCACATTGCTCGGGCTTAGCTTGAAGAATAAACGATTTCAAAAATTTGATCATATTCTATTTATTCTTTAATATGAACAAGCTTGAATGAGCCAAAACTGTTGAACCAAACTTAAGTGGCTCAATTTGTTTAATAGCCGTACCAATTACCCATAATAGAGGGAACTCAACACCATGTTTGAATTTCAATTTCAGCAATTCCTTCCCATGAAAGGAATGCCTACTCCACTCCTTCTAAATTTACCACTAGAGATATAACAATGTCGCACTACCATTTTCCCGATTACTTTGCACTCTTGTTAGTTTTTCTCAAGGAGGGAAGTTTTTACAGTTCAACATTACAGAATAAGTTGCAATCCATTGTCTCTTGTCAACTAGTTCACCCTATGCTTGAGATTGTGGACCTATCTACTTCTCCGGAGGGGAAGATTTGGTAGTTTCTTTAATACACTAGTAATAAATTGATCTTCTAGTTTTTACTTGCAAAACGTTATAGTTTCTAGTTTGTTACCACTATGTATATAGTGGTAACAAACCTTATTTTCTAGATTTGTAGAATGGCATGGGAGTTGTTATCCCTTGTGTCGAATTTTAACTCGACCAACACACATTGTGGCAATTGGGCTTGTCAACTGTTATCATTTTTGCATGAATATTTCCAATTAATTTGCAATGGGAGTGAAGAGGGCCTTTGGTTAGATCAAGGATTAAATTTTGATAAGCACTTATTCTCTCTTGATTTATCTCCTATTAGGTCAAGGATCAAAATTTTGTTTCGATGCATAGTCTCGAACTTCAATCAACTCGAAAACAGAATGGAAACATTGGAAAAAATTGAAGATCTTTTTTTGAAACAATATGAAACGTTGGCCAAAACATCCTGAAATAGCTCTAAACATTGAGAAACATTTCAAAACATGGAATATTGATATTTAATCATTGATTTGTTTTAGTTTCCAAGGAAATTGATATGTTTCGGTAGAAACAAAACGAAATTCAATCCTTGATTGGGGTTTACTTACATGATTCACAAATAGACTCATTAATTATTTTGACCTTTCTTATTTTCCTACACTATCAATCTTAACATTCGTATTTCAGTTGTTCTTAGTTTTTGAAACTTGTTGTTTTCTATCTATAAACATCTTTCTAAAAAAACAATCTATAAGATAAAGTATGGTTATTTTAGAATTTTTACCTTTTAGTTTAAGAGGCATACATCGATCATATTCATCATACACTCAATTCATCTGACTTTAGTCTATGGCAACATCTTCTCCTACATCCTACTCCTTATCAATAATTGACATCGAATGAAAAAAAATTTCTCTTTGGTATTTCTTGATCATCCATCTTCACTATCTATCCATTTGGGTTTCTATTTTCGCTAAATTTATATTCTATGCATTCAATTTTAATTTTACTTATCTTAAATTCTTTTGACTCTAAAGTTTCTATCCAAATTTGTAATCTAGTGTGGGTTCCTATTTTATTTCATCAATCAATATGATATCATTGCTAGTGTCGTGGGCCTCATGTAATGTGTCTAGTTAATCTATCCATAACCAAAGCAAAAAGAAATGGAGTTAAAGTTAATCAATGATGTAAGCCTACAATGATTGAGATTCACTAGTTTCCTTTGTAGTATGTCTCACACTACAACCGCATACATGTTCTTACTCATACAAATATGCAGGGGAAGCTAATTGAGCCCACTTTTGTTGGGTCGAGTACTAGAATAATAAGGGGCCTAGTTTAAACTTGATGGTTTACTTGAATGGATAGGATCATGACCCATCGATGTGATTTCGGGAACCAAAACATTGGTGTTTGGTACCGTGTATGGTATATCAAAAATTCCCCCCATTTATCTCTTCACAAGTCTAGGGCTTTGACTGTGAGGGAAAGATTACTATTCCCTATGGAGGATTCAGATCTAGCCTTAAAGTTGATTCTCTAGGGAGGAGAAAGCATAGATCCGATGTGTGTGAAAGCAACAGTAATACGTGATCGCACTATAATTGATGTTTTACGTCTATTGTTGAATGAGAATTAGGGCTTATCGATCTAAGAAGAGAGTTTAAAGAGTCTAGGGGCGTTCATCTTTGACGTTATCTGTGAGAGGAAGAGTTGGATAATGGCCTATTCGAAGGTGCCAAAGCTAACAAGTTGGAGGGTTTAGTGGCATGTATGTGAAGAAAGAGTTTTCTTCTTTAGAAGCTTCGAGTTTCTCTAAGGATGACTTAGTGGTTGCAGATAGTAAATAACACAAGTGATTTGTTAATGCGAACCCAACTTTTCCACGAGGATTGATTTAATTAATCTTGAATTAATTCACTCAAAATCAAGCTCACGGTGACCCCAAATTCCTAAACCCAATATGCACAACTATGAGTGGATGAATATTCAATTAATCAAGACCACAAACACATAATGTGCATGTGTGCTCACAATCACAAGTGTATATGATAAACTGTAAATAACACGAGTGACTTGTTGACACAAAAATCCTCGAGAAAAATTACAGGAAATCTTCTCAGTTTATCAAATCTTAATCTACTGCTCGTTAAGTCCAATACCATGGTTACATATTCCTTTTCTTGTTGTCTCTCCGCCAAAGGGCTTCCTTCGACATCCAGTATAGCTTTACTTGGACCTCCCCGTCGCATGATTCATCTAGGCCTCGAGTGATTATGGGTATGTCAATAATCCTTGATATACATACATTAATGGGTTTATCAAATCATCAAGATCTTTAACTCCAATTTGTGTGGTCGGGTAGATTATCTAGTCGTGGCCTTTAGGGTCTTAGTGATCTAGGTTGTGGTGGAAGTTTTCAACGTAGAAGTATTATTTTTTCTCTTGAAAATACTAGAGGCTTAACCTAGGTGTGGGAAAGGCTTTCCCTATTTATAAGTTTGGAATAAGGGTAGTCTAAGTAAATAAGAAAACTCAGATTCGTGAACGACCGCTCAATCGTGAGAGGGCGGTTATTACTGGAGGGAAAAAAAATATTTCAAACACGACTAAGGCAGGCACCGCTAGAGTAATCATGGCAATTGCTTGAGTGACTATGGAGACCGCTCGAGCGAGCCCTATACTACCATCCGTAACCTTTTCTAATTTCCTTCCCTCAGTTATAAAGAGATCGCTCTAGCGAAAGTTAGTGAGTATAGATCGGTCCCTACAAGTTTTTAAGCATAAAATCATGCAAAAACTTGTCCTCTTAAGCTTTAAAAGGTGTTGCTCAAAGAGTGGTCCGATTGTGTCTCAAACTATGTTTTCAAAACTCATAAATAGTTTAGAAAATCTTTTCTTTTAAAATAACCTAGGAGTCATAATCAGATTGTTTTCAATTCCATTTTCATCATAATCAACCTAAATTAAAAATTATTAAGGGTTCAACTCACATGTTTAGGTCATTATCTTGTCTAAGATTGAAGGTACATATGGAGGTTGAATGATGTTGCTTTGACGCTTGATCTCATTCCTTCAATGACACTCTCAAATCTTAAATTTGATAGCATCATCATAGAATAGGTTGAGATTTTACAATGGACTCCACGAAATTAGCCAATTATAAATATGATCTAACAAGTTCTAATCATCCAAAGAACATTGGTCTCTTTCCTATTAAATTACACAATCATGTCTTAACCAATTATTTGAATATTGGTAATATTGATTTTAGTGGGAATAATCCGAGCATTAGTGAGGAAGGTGATATTGATTCAAATTGGGTTTGTCATGTGCAAGACCATCTTAATTTGGGAAGGGAAGCCGTTATTTGTAAAACTTAGTTAGGGTTTGGATGAAAAGAGTTGGAAAATTTTGAGGGAGTTACGAGGAAAGTTGGGACTATCCTTGGTTCACAATCAAGGGGAAGGCAGAGGTATAGGACTAGGGGTTGTGATAAAAAATATAGTGGGATTAGGGAACTCGGAGGATTAATTTAGGAAAATAATTCTACAAGGGAAAACGGGGCTCTTATGGTGATTAATGTGTTAAGAGAGTTTGTGTTGTTTATCGAATAATTAGGACCACTAAAGTTGTTTTATATAATTATGGGGTCACTTCATCCATTGCCAATTGATTTTGGGTTGGATGCTCTAACATGATATCAGTGTTGGGCCTTGGATAGTTAGTGGGCCAAGTCTTTTACGCCTTCGAATCCTGGTATACATGGTTGTTTATTTATTGACCCCATGTGCTAGTCCGACCCACGTAAGAGAGAGTGCTAAAAGTGCTTGTATCATACATCGAATAATTAGGTCCAACAAGGTTG